TCAGGGCCAGGGCCCCTGGTGCTAGAGGTTCCCTCTACCGGGACGCCTGCTCCTGGCCCCGCCCTGCCGAGGATGTGCCATTGCGACTGGCACCCTGGGCAGTGGCCATCCTCCATTTCCCTTCTCACCTCTCCCTCCCCCTCCCACTGTCACTCCCGGTCTCCAGTGACTCCACAATGGCATGGGATGGGGAGGGAGAAATGGTCCGTGGTGATGCCCACAAGGCAGAAGTATCTGGAAATCGGTCTTTTCTCTCCTGAAGGATGTGAGTGCTCATGGCCTAGTTGGATCCTGAGATACTTCCACTTCCAGCAGCAACCAGGGACGCTGCAAACCAGCAACTGCTGAAGTCCTGCATCTGCACATCTGCAGAGCAATGTGGATTGGAAACGGAGGATCCTGGTTTCACACCTGTTCTCTGATGTTTCTTGCCATTCGCCCCATCTAGCGGAGCAGCAGGGAGAGGCAGAAAGCATCAGGAAACTAACTGCGCCTGAGGCCGGAGTAGCGGATGTTGAAATGAACCTGTTGAAGGGTAGGTAGTTTAATGACTGAAGCTACAGGACAGGAAGAGCTTCTCTGGATCTGCAGCTTCTACGGCTGCTCGTACTCACCACGGAGGTTTAGTTCTGTTTAATGATCCATAAATTGAAGCGGTGGGTTTTTAAAAACGCACTCCAGGAACCAGCTAGGCTGCTTGTGCATTGCTGTAGTTCCCTCCCAGCAGATATCCCAATAATTAGAGCCCCCTGGAGAACCAGGTGCTGCCATTAGAAACCTCCTGCCACTTGTTTAAAGAAGGCCTCGTCCACCTCCACCTCCTGCTTTGGACGCCCACCACGACACTCCCCATGCTGCTCTCATCTTTTCCCAGCAGCTTCCGACTGGCCTCTCTCCCTTCATTGCCTTTCATTGTACGATTCCTGGTGGATCCATCGCCCAGCTGGCATGCTGCTCCCAGTGGGCACTTGCAGGGAGCCCCTTATTGCAGGTCTACATTGGAGGAGGAGACAATAACAGCTCTGCATGAGCAAAGGTATTGTGTCCCCTGCAGGTCCCCACACAGCTCCTGCAAGACGCTGAAGGCTGAACTCCAGCAGGGACAGCAGCTCCCCGGACAAACCCTCAGTTACCCCCACCCCATCATCTGGGCGGCTGTGCACTCTGCAGCACAGACAGCAGGACTTGGTTGCCTGGTCCCTCACACTCACAGCAAGGGGTGCTATGAGGGCTAATGGCTAACTCATGTAAACACAGATGCTATGCTCCAAGGTTAAATTCATTTGAACCTCTCGTGCATGTAAACACAGATGTGATGCTTCATGATAAACAAGTATAAATTTTATAAACCAATTTAATTTAATGGGGATTAAAACCCATGAAGTGTACAGATGCCCCTAAGCAGGTGGCAGAAATGCAGGAGGGAACTGGTGCCGGGATGGACAGCAGGTGATATAAATTTTATAAACCAATTTAATTTAATGGGGATTAAAACCCATGAAGTGTACAGATGCCCCTAAGCAGGTGGCAGAAATGCAGGAGGGAACTGGTGCCGGGATGGACAGCAGGTGAGATACTCATGGGAGTAGTTTAGGAAGAAGGACACAGTGCTAACACAATAAAGGGAGCCAAGGATGGGACTGTGGATGTTGAGACAGGAGCAGGGTCACTGAGCAAACATAGGATCCCGTGCGAGATGAGTGCCAGGGGAGGAAGATCAGGCAGAGGTTGGTAGATGGAGATCACAGAGAAAGTGCACTTAGGTCTCACTGACCCCAGTGTGGATCAGCCCTGATTGCCCTGAAGAAAAGTGGGCACATGTGTATAGAAGAGTTGCGGAAAGAGAGAAGTGGGGGGCAGAGTCCTTGCCCTTGTGCACCCAGGACACAGCACTGTCGGACAAGCTCCTGTCCACCGCCACACGCTCCAGCTCCACAGGCTACTAGTTTTGTGGGACTGCGGCTGCATGGACTGGCCTGCATCTGCTCCTGGCACCCAGAGCAGCTGAAGGAGAGGAGCCCACCCAGCGCACGTGTAAAGACAGCTTGACATTGGCTTTTCATGTTAATTGTTTCTCCTATGCAGACTCCAGCTGGGACATTCTTGTGATTCAGACTCGAGAGTCCCTGGCCGTGTCCCCAGGAGACACAGTCACCATCAAGTGCAAAGCCAGCTCTAGTAGTGGATACACGAGCTTCTACCAGCAGAAACCAGGGCAGGCTCCGAAGCTCCTTCTCTATGGCACAAAAAGCCACTCCTCCCAGGATCCCCAACCAATTCAGTGGCACTTTTACCATAAGCTGCGTGGAGACGGGTAATGCTGGTGATTATTAATGTCATCAGGGTTATAGCACCCCTCTCAGAGTGCTACAGCCCCAGACAAAAATCTCCCAGATCTGCTCAGTCCTGCTGCTATCGGCGCCAGCTGCTTCCTGCCCAGCCACAGGCCAGTGACTCCCCCACAGATATCTCATCTCCAAAACCACCATTCATCTCTTAGCTCTCTGCCACACTACAGGGCACTGACTGATAATAAGCTCATACCATTTTGCCCTGACGTCAGGGCCCCAGGCAATCTTGATCCATGTGCTGGAAGTGATGGCCCAGGCTAAGGGGGAAAGATGGGTCCTAGGTCCTGGGAGAGCTGAGGTCTCGGCACACTCGCTCACTTCTCACCTGCTCCATTACTGCCACGTCCTATTAACGGCAGCATCAGGTGGGTCTCACTGTTGTTCTCCCCCACTATGACCTGTCGAGCAGTAGTGCCCAGGACCCTCTCCTGGTGCCCGGCCCATGTTGAGCGGGGCACTGTGCAGAGAATGAAAAGGCAGTCCCTGTCCCAAAGAGCTGAAGGACCAATGGGCAGCTTTATAGAGAGCCTGGGAGACCCTGCGCTGGGGCGGGATGAGTCTGGGACCAAGCAGAGCTCCAGTAGTCTCAGCATAGGGGCCATTCCTGTGTGGAAACCAGTGCATTACACATAGCAGCACGGCCTGGACCATCAGTGCAGGGGAATGTTTCTTGACTGTCACCCTAAAATTTTGGGATTGGAGCCAGGTTGGACCTAACTCAGCATCAGAAAGTTTACAGATGACACCAATCTGTGGGGAGTACTAGATACACTGGAGGATAGGGCTAGGATTCAGGGTGACTTAGACAAATTGGTGGATTGGGACTGTGGCAGAAATGCCACCGTCGGTGCCCCTCTCCAGAGACCTGTCTCTGCCAGCCTGAGAGGCTGGTGTTGAATCCCTCAGGGCAGGGATCTCCCTCCTGGTCTGCATGACAAAGGCCTGGGAGGCGGATACTCTGGTCACCTGGGCAGTGGGGGAAAGCCCGGCCCTGCGCACGGGCCCAGGTAGCCAGGGATGCTTGGTATATTGGTTGGCTTATGGCCAGTATTGGCAGCTTCGATTGGACCGGGCTGCTGAGGTCAGAGAGGGGATAAAAAGACCCGGTCCAGGAAGAAGGGCGTGAATCTGAACCTGGGAGAGGAGCTTCACCATCTGAAACAGGCTCTCTCCTCATCACCGCATGCTCAGAGTGCCCTGCCTCCAGAGGGAACTCCAACCACCTCTGGACGATGCGTGTGAGTAAGCTACTCGAGATCAGGCTAGATATTTAGCTGACAGTAACTAAGATGCGTGATGAAAAGGCTACCTCAGCCGTACTGGTTTGCTCTATGGGATTCCTCTGATATTCCTCTGATACTGCTCTACCCTTTACCCTGTTTCCGCCCTACCCCCTGTAATCAATAAAGTTCTCCTTTGTGACCGGTGT